CAGTAGTTCCACCGGGGAGAATGCTGTTCGGTGCTGGCACTGAGAGCCAAACGCTTCTGCCAGCAGTTAAAGGATTACTGGGATCAGGGGGTTGGTCAGGACTCCCAGGGCCACCCAGCCCAGCCCTGAAAGACATGGAGCAGTCAGGGCTCTATGTGGTACTGGTCAGCGGGCAGGAAACCCTCTGCAGCTGCCTCCCCAGAGACTAAAAGCCCCGGGACCCTGCTCCTACCTGTCTTTAAGGTGGACAGACAGTGCCACACATCCGTGGACTGTTTGCAGGCCTCCCACAGGGACAGCGAGTAGTGCTCGGAAGTGACCCAGGCAGGACTCAGCAGGGCCACCACGTCCAAGGCGAGGGCGATGAAAACGCAGAACAAGGCAATGAGTTTGAAGGGACGGAAGACGTAGACCTCGTCCGTGGACATCCTTGCAGGTGACAGGCAGATGCCGGGCTGCCTCCAGTGGGCTCGGGGGCTGGGGACGCGAAGCAAAGTTTGCAGAGATGCGCGCGGCGCGTACAGGGGCCCCCGCCCCACCCCGCGCCGAGCCGGCGGCAGGGGCGGGGGCGCCGAGCTCCGCTCCATTCGGGCGCGGTCACGTCAGGGCCCCTCGGGGTCCTAAAGGCATCTGGATTCCGAGGAGCCTTCAGGCTGCTGAAACGTGCCAGAGATTTGCGGCTTAGTTTTCTGTCGGCCTCTCCACTTGTTTCTAGTTCCGCACACGGACACATCCCGCAACCATCCTCCAGCCTGGCAGCCAGCGCTACCCGATCACAATAAAATCTTAGGGGAGAAGGGGGCAAAATAGTTCCCTGCTAATGTGTAAAGCATGATTTTTCATTTCTACCTAGAAGAACTTTTACAATCTTTGCAATCTCCTATGCCTGATGAAGGGTGCCTGTGCCCGAAAGCGTGTGTGTGTGTGTTTGCAAATATCTACTTGATCCGATAAAAGATATCTCCTCTGCCACGAGTTTTGATTCCTTTTGCCTATAGACCAATACGGCTACAATCTGGATCCCCGTTAATGTCGCAGGCACTTTGCTGTTACAGAGAGGGGAGGCTCAGGCTGGGATTTCCCAGAAGGGTTGCAACTGAAATGTGACCAGTGTTTCCAGACGGCTCTGCTTTACATAGCCAGATTTGCAAGAACACTGCCTCAGCAGCTGATTACGATCACGTAGCACACGTGGTGCTGAGCTCTACAAAATCTGGTCGGAGGAAGTTTAGTCAGGGCCCTTCCAGTATCTGACCCGAGGTATTCCAGCCCTCAGGTCCGATCACTAGAGTCGGAGCCAGCTGACCTGGTTTCCAGCTCCATTTGTTTCCCTGGATCCTGCGTGGTGGGAATGAGAACTTTGCTCCTGTTGGGGTGAGCTGGGTCAGAAAGGCTCCAGGAGAACCTGGTGGGTGCCGGTCTAACAAGATCGTTCTCCTGAGCTCCCCAGGAACCAGGCAGGAGTGCCCTTTCCTTCCCATCCATGCTGCAGCACTAGCAGAGGATTGTCTTGTCAGCAACAGCAAATACCCAAGTCACTTGAGTCCAGGAGCTGGAGGATTACCATGTGGGGTGCTCCGCAGTTGGTAGCTGTCACTCTTCTCGGTCCTGCTCCTCATCTTACTTCATTCTCCTGCTCATTCTTTGTTTCTCTCCAAGCCCCCGTCTTTCACCTCCCCACTTCCTTACTCACAATCCCTCCCAATTAGTTCCCTTTTGCCTTATTTTACCCATAGCTTCAAATCCCCCCAGCCATTTCCTACCCCGCCTTTTCTCCCATGTCCTCCAATTTTTGCCTGCTCCCATCCCCTTATATTCAGTCCTTCTCCCCTGTAATTCTTGCCCTCCCCAGAAGCACTTTTACTCTGCAATGTCTACATCAGTGGTTCTCCATCTTTTTTGTACCAGGACCCATTTGTAAACATTAATAGCCAGTCCTGACCCATTACCCTTCACTCATGACCCACTGCTCCCTGCCCCCAGACCCCAGCACCCCCGGGTGTGGGGCAGGGGGTAGGTATTTTGGGGGGCTTCAAGGAGCCTCTTGCAGGCTGGAACTCTGCCAGCCTGCTAGGCAAAAGCCATGGTTTCCTATGTTTTTCTTCTTTAAAGGAGAATCCATTTTTAAAGGTTGTTGATACATTTTTTAAGTTTGTTCACAACCCGTTCATATGTTCTTACAACCCACTTTTGGGTCACAACCCACAGGGTGAGAAACATTGGTCTAGAGCAGTGGTTTCCAACCTTTTTCTACCACAGACCAGCAAACCATGGACCAGAAGAGACTGCAGACCATGGACTGGCAAACTACAGACCAACATACTGCAGACTGAAAGTCATATTGTGGACTGGCAGCCAACCTTTTTTATACTGAGTATAAAAAGGGTTGGCTGCCAGTCCACAGTATGCTGGTCACTTCCAGACTTCTGGTCTGGCAGCCAACCCTTTTTATACTCAGTATAAAAAAGGTTGGCTGCCAGTCCACAGTATGCTGGTCACTTCCAGACTTCTGGTCTGGCAGCCAACCCTTTTTATACTCAGTATAAAAAAGGTTGGCTGCCAGTCCACAGTATGCTGGTCACTTCCAGACTTCTGGTCTGGCAGCCAACCCTTCGCGGCCTGGTACTGCTCCGTGGCCTGGGGGTTGGGAATCTCTGGTCTAGAGGACTCAGCCAGAACAGGGCCCCTTCTGCTAGGTGCTTCACAAACACACAATCCAACAGCTCCCCCACCAAAGAACTCACACTGCGGATAGTCAGCAATCCTGTGGCTCCAGTTGAGCAGCCCCACACCTCTGCATTAGTCTCTAGCCATCTCACTTAGTTCTGTAGTAGATGTAAGGAGAGTTATGGAGGCTCTGAAATCTGAGATAAGCTATGTAGGATGTGACAGTAACTGCAGTTTTGGATGCATGCAGGAGTGAAGAAGATTAAAGACATGACATGCATCAAAGTATTTTTGGGAAGAGGGAGAGACTTCCTCTTGTTAATGATGTCTTACTTAATGCCCCACCCCACAGATGAAACAAGGGGACCTCTCCAATTTCACCAACCCTTTCCTTCACCAGCACAGGTGCATAAGGGGATCATTCAGGCCCTGCTGGGGCATGAATGATTCATGTCCCAGCCCAGCCCTGCTGCTGGCCTGAGCCCGCACAGAGTCAGATAACCAAAGTTCCATTCCCTTCCCCTTGCTCCTCAGATAAGGTTACTGCCAGACCTGGGGAATTCACACTCCCCAGGCAAGGTGCCAGGCTATTTATAGAGCAGCCTGTGTGCTGAGAGGGAAAAGTGAGGGCTGCAAATCAGTGAGTTAGTAGGAGGGCTGCATTCCTTCACCACACATGGCTAGGCCCACACCCACGCTTTCAATGGGTTCATTCTTTTTAAAGCTACTGGATACAAATTTAACGTTGGCAAAAAGAACTGAGCTGGCAGCATTGGTGGCTGCAGGCTGATACTAATTCACAAAGCAGGTAACAGCAGGAATAGCTTCTAATGCTGTCTTGTTAGCTATCTTCAACACTTTTCTGGAAATATCACTCCACAGTGTGATAGAAATTCTGGTTTCATGGCCTGTCCAGTTCTTGTGGAAGCTGCCCACAAAATTACTCACTGATGCCAGTGCTAGCTTTGTGATGTGAGCTTCCATCTACTTGGCACTGGACCAAGACCCAACTAACAACCCGTCTAAGTTGTTAGTTGTCATACTCTAGCATGTTCCACTCACAAATAGCCAGACCTGGATTGCAACTGGTGGCTTGGGAGAATGGGTTTCCTAGGTTATAAGGGCAGAAGGGACCATTGTGGTCAGTTGGCCTCAGGGTCATGAGATCCTAGGGGTTTGCTGTACAACTGTTGGAACAAAAAAGCTACAGGTTGGTGGCTTTACTTGAGGCACACATCATCCTATTGTGGGTGGATAAGGAGCGACTTTTCCCCTGGCAAGTTCTTATGAAGGAATTCATGTTATCATCTGGCTGCCAGCTTTATAGGAGCTCTGCCCTACCACAAGCCATCAGCAAGGTTGAATGTAAAATCCTCAGCACAGATCCTTATACCTTCATCATTTCAGCTAAGTGAACAATTGCATTAGTAGAGAAAAATAGCAGGCTGTTGTCTTCTGGCCTAGCTTCCAGAGCCAGGACAGGACAGTTTAAAACATGCTACGTCTGCATGTCTAGCATGCTTATGTACAGAACAAACGGACAAAGGTAGCATTTGTATCTCCCAGTTCCACCAGGATGTCCATGTTAGAGACCGAGTCCCTTAGCTTGTCCAACTCTCCTCCAAGTGAGGCAGATGCTGAGGAGTTATTAGTGACATGGGATGCTGGCTAGTAGCAGAGATAAGCTTGTTTGGCAGTGGGCAGCTGTGAAAGTCACCGTGCTCCAAGGGGGAACAAGAGATAGAGAGACCTGTACATACAGCCTCTAACCCCAGAGCAGAACAGGTGGAAGTGCCGAGAAGCTGAAATTAAATTTACCTCAGCACATCTCATGTGGCAATTTCTGTCTCATACAAAGGGGTTTTTTGGTCTCTCAAGGATAGTGAAGGGTACAGTTTCTAATTTCAAAGGCTCACTGGGTTTAATAAGTCACCTGCAGGCAATATAGCTGTTCAGGGCATCTATATAGCACTTACAGGAGCAACCTCTTGAGTCAGTGAACATTGTCCATCATCATGTGCCACTGGTACAACCCCTTGCAGGTGGTGGATACCAGACCACTGGTTAATGTTACAGCAATCACTTTGTGTCTGGGTAGCAACAGTCTGGAATACGTGCTTCCTCCTCCCCACACTATTCAGAACAGGACAATATCACTTTCTTCTCATTAGATTGTACAACTGACCTAGACAAACTGATCTCCTTTCTCCTTCCCTGTCCAATACCTGATGCTTCCAAGGAAGGCAGTTTCTGCAGATCTGAGTGCATGGCCGGCCCAAGGGTAATTGGCACCCTATGCGAACTGTGTACCTCAGCGCCCCCACCATGTCCAATATAGAGGAAAGTAAGAAGTCTAGAATGGACTTTGACATGTACTTATTTGATATTTGAAATAAACAGTAAAACAATAAAAACAAAACATTTTTAGTGATTGTTTCATACTTTTCATTAACCCTAACACAATTATACTGCAAAAACTCTAATAGAATTTATTATAATCCATGTACAATTCAAAATGCCTATGTATCTCTCACATGAGTACCCAACCATAATATGTACACAAAGGCTTACCCCAGCTCAACTTACTTTAAAAAATCACAAGCGTTCTTACAAGAATTAAATGTAACAATTCAGTAATCCCACTCCGACCATTTCTAGACATAGAAAGCAGAGTCACGAGCTGTAAGATGATATAGGAGTAGGGGTTCACCTTTTAAGAAGACATTGCCAGTGGTATGCTCTTGTCATAAGTCTGCTTGAGAGTTGAAAAGGTAGGAGTCGCGATTCTAGTGATCTTTCCT